ATGAAAAAAAACATCAAAATTTGTTTTCAGTTGTTTATTTTCATTCTATTGTTTGCATATAGCTCTGAACTGCATATGACGCTGCCTTATGTTCTTCATTATTTTAATGAATGTAATCATTACACCATCATCGAACGAAATTGTTTGTGACAACAAGCATGGTTTCCGTCTACAGTGCTTTGTCAATTTACAATACAGTGAAGAGAGTTTAATAGCATTGAGACCTATCACAAAAAAGAGCGAGTTTCGCCGACGATTTTAAACCCGCACGACAAGATTCCATCATGCCTTAATTCTGGCAAACTTAATACAAAGGATAGTCTATATAAATAAGTACCTTTAAATTAAGCTGAATCTATATAAAATAATTTACCTACCATCCAATTCTGATCTGAAAAACTGGATCACATGATGGATCTGAAACATGTAAGGGCAGGAACATAACTGTGAATCACAAATCGCTTCTCATGACAATGTTCCAAATAAAAATGCCATTACTCTGATGTTCTCATTTATACAAGGTTCACAAGTTCAAGAGTTAAAGCCAATCAAATTACTGAGAACATCAATGATTCTGTTCATAACTGCCTTCAAAATAAAAGTGAATTTTAAATTGAAATTACCACGAAAAACTCTTGTCAAGGATTAATCATAATGTACATCCCATGACCTACTTTTAGTAATTTAGGAGTTTTACTATGTTACTATAATGTACATAAAATGTTTATTGGTACATATTGCAAATACTGGTTCAAGTCGCGATGATGAACTCTGGAATCAAGATACGACTTAATATAACTCACTATAACTTCTATGTTTTCAATTCATCCCATAATTCTGATTGTTACAAGGGATAATGAATGTCTACTCTCATTTTTCATTTTCAACATTATTGATAATATTATTTGTACTCTGCACTCTCTCAGCAAACAGCTGTTCATATCTGTATTTTAACAGCCCGTACGTGCATTGAAATAACTATTTATTTGTACATACATTACGGGTATGTTATTTTGTGACTGTTCACACAGTGAAATCATCACCAGGATCCGATACATATTAATGTCGCAATATTAGATTATATGAGTACGAGACATTCGATGTAAATAAACATTGTCAAATGTAGGATTTGATTTGTTTGTTGTATATTACATTAACAAATTATGCATAACACATAAATATATGTAAATTGTAAAAGTTATTGATATGTTGATGACGTCATCGTTTATTAACCAAAATAAACCTGTCAGATTGTTTGTGCAGTGTTTAAAACAGATAATACGTTTATATTGTGGCAAAAACATTTATGTTGAACCAAAGTACCTGAGGGTAACAATGTTGGTCATTAAGCTCTATGTTCGTATCGCAAAATATTGTTTTTGCTGATTTATGTTTTTGGGGTCTTCTCCATAACTTAAAAACCCTAAGTAAACAGTGTATTTTAACCACGGCTTCCATAAATAAAAACACGCTTCAGATTCTGTCCACTGGGCATAACAGTGAGATACTAATGTTAACGTAGGCCACGTGGTTCGTACTTGAAGCGGGGGAGTCGTCACCTGAGCATGCGTATCATTGTTTACAAACAAGCGTCTACCCATGAGCCTTTGCGTTTTTAGCATGTGTTGTTATCGTCGCTAGGGACTTAATTCCCGCGCGTGCGCAGATAACAACCCTCCCGCTTTAAAAGTAGTAAACTCAGAAAAATTAAATTACATGATCAACTTGATATGATTTTACCACAATTCGTGTTAAATCAGTCCAGAATTTATGAGAGCTTGTTTTCCAGCTATAGTCACTACGCTTAAGATATACGGAGCGTAAATCGCAGAGAAGCTATGTGTAATCCAGATAATATAAATCGTCATGCGTTTGGG